TGATCCTAAAGACCATCCTCGCGTCTCGCCAGCAATGATGCCGCCGCTTTCTAGTTCTCGGATTTGTCGGTCCCTTTCAGCAATAATGGCATCCTCGACAGCCTTGATGGTGTTGAGATTTTTTATCTCCGTTCTCGTTCCCAGGGCCCGCGCAGGGTCGTCCGTCCTACGAACAGACACATTCACATCTGCTCGGAGCCCGCCAGCTTCCATACCAGAAACGCACGTGTCGGCAGTGTTGAGAAGGAGCTGCACCTTGCGCACAAACGCGGCAGCCGTACGCGGGTGATGCATATCTGGCTCTGTAATGATCTCAATGAGAGGCATCCCGACTCGATTCAAGTCCAACCAATGCGCATTTCCAGGCTGCGCCAACGTCTTTGCTGTGTCTTGTTCAAGCTGAACCTGTTTGATTCTCACAGTGATGCTGTCGCCATCCTCGACGGCGATGCCATCTCGGGCCATTAAGGTAATGTTCCCATTCTTAGCAAACGGTTTATAATACTGCGTGATTTGGTAGCCAGAAGGCTGATCCCACCAAAAGTAATGCTTTCTGTCAAAGTGGCTGACGGGATTGATGTCGCAGTTGAGGGCCAGCGCAGCTCGAAGAGCCGGTATCAGGGTTTCTTTCTGAAAAAGCGGCTGGCTGCCTGGCATTGACATGTCGAACAATGCCACATGACTGTTCGGTTCGTCGTTGAACGATGTGGTCGCAGGAGAGAAGAGCTTGCGACTTGTATTTAGCTGTGCGTGGATTTCGATGCCGACGGTCAGCTCCCAGCCGTCCACGGTCTGAGAGTCGCCCTTTGCTTTCTTCGTTCCCTGTTTCTTGGCCAATTTCGCCTCTTCCTTTAGCCGTTTTCGCAGAGGTACTGCGGTGTCTTTCGGCTTCGCAGCGAGCGCTGTAGGAGGGAGATCATGTAGTGCTCGTAGCCGACTACACGATTGCAGAGTCACACCGTTGCGTCCCAGGCCACGGCAACTGGCCAAGCAGCCTCGATGAGGGAGCAAGTCCTCGAGGAGATATCTGCCCGCTTCTCTGACGCGAGCTCGACTCATTGCTTGTTTCAGGCTAGACAAAAATTTTCTCTGGATTTTTTTTGTGTCGGTTGCAGCCGCTTAATTTTTTATGATTTTTTTTTTTTTCGTTGTGCAGGTTCGAGAAAAGCTTGCTGTTCAACAATGCTGGTACCGTATGGTCATTGCCGTCTCGAGTGCAGCTGCAGGAGTCCTGCATGAAACGGCTGCATAGAAGGTCTGTAGAGGCCGCAGGAAATGCAGAAGCACCGACAGGGATGCGGCTGCAAAGACAGCTGGCACTTTTCGGTTCGATACGAAGCTGGTCGAGTCGCGAAGGATGGGATGATGTTGGACTGTGACGGAGGACCAACAAACGTGGAGATCTTCTCCTGCAACCTGAAGTGTATTTTCGGGACTAGAGCAGCAGCAGCTCCTCCTCCTCTTCGGATTGGCTAAGAGATTCGGGAAGAGCCATTAGTGTGGGTCCGGACCAATGGTCTAGTCGGTGGACGTCAAGTTGCAACTCAAGCTGATCCCAGTCATCTATACCACCACCATCCACCACCCACCACCCACCACCCACCACCCACCACCAACTACATGATGCATCTATTTTCGACCCTCGCGCATCAGACTCGATTCCCTTTTCCCTGGCACTGACCACCTCGTACTTTCGACCCCAACATGATGCGTGATTCTGCACGCAGCTCCGCCGACAAAGTCACCAGACTCCTGTCCCCCACTCGAAAGCGTCGCTACTACACGATATTCTGCAGTCATCATTTGTGGGCACTGGAATTAAAAGTGTGTGTTGGGCATCGTCGGGTATGTCCCAAAGGATGTTACTCGTGTGCCTTGTCATATACAATAGAGACCAGACAGGCTCCATTGCTATCGGGCTGTTGGGTTGGCGGATTTGTTCATTGAGTGAAGCCCAAGGATGCCATGACTTGGCTTGGAGACGATACTTGGGCTCTTGACGAGCAGCAAGAACACCAAGAGAAGCACGCAAACCAACCGAGCCAAGCGCATTGTTGATCACATCCCGTACGTGTAAACGAGCGACAGAGAGGGTGCGGCTGCGTCTTCGTCTGCCGCCGCGGTGCACAAAGGCATATCAATATCAATCCGTCTCCGATCCGCCGACACGTGTCATTGCCTCATTATGCGTCACTTATTGGCCGCCATGTAGCCTCGTGGATCCGCGCGGTGGGCGTCTGCCGCTCTTGAGGGTGTTTATGCCAGTGCGTCATGGCATATCTTGATGAGCAAGTACTCTGATTTTCCTGGGCAGATATGCACATTTTGCCGATGCGACAGCGAATCGTCTCGCAGGCCTTCGTATCGTATTGTATAAGTACAATCCTATATACGTATGTCTCATCGCGTGTCCCGCCACCGCAGCTCAGTCTTCAACCGCTCACTCCGTCTACTGTATTTCAGTTGGTTGATGGAATTTGGTCCTGTCATATATTTGTTGCCGTCGTCCGTGCTTCTCCAACCGTTTCTTCTTCTTCCTCTTTTTTTTTACCCCACTGCAGCCCTCCTCATATATATGCTGCAGAAACTGCAAGCGGAGCACGGCCTTTTCAAGACCGTCGACAAAATGTGTGCAGAAAGTAATGTTGGCCAGACCGCAGACATGCCAATCAACTTTCACGTCACTGAGCATAGCGAGCGAGATCAAGAGGCATTTCTAACACCAGAAAATGAAGTCAAGGACTCATCGATCCAGCAAGACGACACCGGAGCAGACGGCACCCGAGAGCCTACCGAACATGCCACAGCCTCTTGCTCCAATGTCCAGGAATCCGCGCCTCATTTGGAAACTTTATCCCCTCATCCATCAGCCCATGTGCCTGGCAAGAACTGCATGACGACTTTTGTAGAAGACTGTGAAGAAGAGGACTCCCGCATTCATACCGAATACACCTCGGTTACCTCACCAACTCTCGTTGAGACGACACCCATCCCAGATGTACAAGGAAACACCGTCAATACTGGCAAATCGGAGCCATACGGACCTTTCCACGGAGATCAGTCATCTCGACGGCAGGTCGAGCCCTCAGAAATCCTTATTCAACAAAGTGCCCAGCAGAACACATCCAGACGTCGACCGAATGTCGTGGACTGCGTGGTCTTCCCTGGACCTGCCAGCTATCCAATGCCAATCTCGCGAACAAGCAGCTCTCCATCTCGCGGAGTATCTTCAGAGGGGCAACACTGGCAAAGCTATGACCGTCTGTCGGCTAATAGTTATCGGGTTCAGCCCGAGGCTTTTTATGGCTACAAAGTGGAAGAGAGGAAACAACAGATGGGATGTACTTCTCAGCAACCTTCTCTCCGGTCAGTTGACAAATTTTTAAGCGTTCACGGCGAGCGTGGCCCAGAGATATCACACAATAGGGGCTTCGGTAAAACCTGGGAACAGAATGGTCAGCCTGTACCATCCTCGAACCACAACATGCCAGGTAATGATGGTCGTCCAGATATATCCACAAGTCAAGTTTATCCTGATCTTGCTAGCCATCCGGACAATCTGGCACCTAGCGGCTATCATCTCTTGGCCACGAAACTTTCGGGCGATGCTTGTGGCCAGCCCATTTCACCGATCTATCGTCGATTTGATGCCCTGAATCATCGTCTGTTATTGTACATGCAGGAAGAAATTAATGATCTGGAACACCAGCTTATCTCGTTGGATGTCAAGAATACGGCCAATAGAAGCTGCGGAGGTTACGTCATGCCCGCTTCTCAGCGTCAAGACCTGGCACACCAAAAGACCGAGATTCTCGGCCTCATTGGCTTCAAATTGAGTCAATACAGTAAGTAGATAATGATTTTTTTTTCACGACGTTTCTCGTTGCGTTTGGATTTTAGAGCTGACAGGCCGACAGATCATGTTCTTGCGTCGTATTGCAAAATGCAAGATCTTCCAAAACCAACATGGGAAGACATCTATATGTACAAATCCTACCTTTTCACTAACAAGCTGATTGTGGAGGATGAAACATGTTTTCTCGATGCTTCAGACCTCATCTCACTGAACACTCGGGAGCAGGCTACGGATGATCTCAACACCACCCCCTATGGGTCAACGTCAACGCCCAAGGCAGCCAAGGAAGAACGGTTTCAAGGTTGCTTGAGGGATAATGGAAGCGCACCATCTGTAAGGGTTGATCAGGGTGTAGCACACAAGCCTGACGATGCGCTGTTCGTGCGACTTGCTCTCTCTGGTACATGTGTCGTACTTGTGCCTATCTTGATCTTTTCGGTCATGCCTAGCTTTGTAGGGCGCATTGCGATTATTCTTCTCGTTGTACTCGGCGTTATTATCATGGTCGATCAATGTGGCTTGCTGCAAGACGTCGAACGGCACAGACGAAACGGGATACTGTACTTTGGGTTATACTGTGGTGCCATGACTGTGTTGGCTGGGGCAGTGAATTGATGGTGCATCTTTGCTAGCACCTATCCAGACCTCATCTCTTCTTCTCTTATCTAGGCATGGAATCTTTGTGTACAATGATGGAACAATTAGCGACGGAGTCCTAACACCCGCTGTACATATGTATGTATCGTAGACATCGAATTGTTCTCGGTTTCTTGTGCATCATTTGCATGATCTTCAATCTCCTCGCCCGTCTGTCGGAAATCCTATCCCTTTGTCGCTAGTAATTCTTCCGTGAGCAAAGATGCTTCTAACCTCCGACTTGATATTGGAAAATAGTTTATAGATTTAAATATCTGATGCTCGTTGCACAGTTCCTAGGGCGAATGGTTTAGTGGTATAATACTCCCTTAGCATGTTGTGTCATCTGGGAGTGGTCCAGGGTTCGATTCCCTGTTCGTCCATGATAAGTGTATCCTTCACGGCGAGTTCTTCCTTTTGCCCTGCACGCGGGCAAAAACCTTTTTTCAGCTCCTGAAAGAGTCCACGAAATATATATGACTTTGCCTTATCGTTCTCGTATCTGATTGGGCGAATGGTTTAGTGGTATAATACTCCCTTAGCATAGTTCAATTATTTGGGAGTGGTCCAGGGTTCGATTCCCTGTTCGTCCAGGTCATGTTTCATGGTTGCATCACGCATCCGAGTTTTCTTTTTGCATGATGCATGCGTCGCACTGTTGCTTGCGTTTTGTACCCACTAAGCATTCTTCTTTTTGGCCCAACGATTCGCAGAGCCCAAAGAGTCTTGGGCCAAGACGTCCCGAGAGGTTGGCCAGAGTTGTTTCGTCAGGGCCGTCCGTCCTGGAATGTTCGTAGAATACTGTACGATATGTTGTAGTGTTTATTCGTACGACTGTAACCAACGAACTGAAATCTTTGGCGGATAAGCCTTTATGTTGGATTGGGGAGGGGTGATGGCCGTCTTCCCGTTTTGGTTGCCCCACCTTGAGATCAACTCGGACGGACGGACTGGCGGGGCACAGGCTCCAGGAAATTCTGAGGGAGTGGCAGACGTGAGTTGTGACTCAGGTTAATCCTATCCCATCGCCGACAAGGGACCATCACCGACACTTCTTCGCCGCTGGCACGTCACAGCCCTCGTCAGTCAAAGGACACGTCATTGTTCCATCATGGCGTCACAGACCAGCAGCGCCGCTGGAGATCTTGCTCACCAGATCCTCCATGCGCTGGACAAGCAGTCACCCCTCCTTTCCTCCGAAGCCTTTACCACGATACCTTCTACCGAGGTCAAGGGCGCTCTCGACAGACTCGCTTCGCGTGACATGGTCAAGTACGAGACCATAGATCGCGAGGAAGCTCTTCTGGAACCCGAAGGCGGGCAGATTGCCGCCAATGGCAGCCATGAGGTCCGCGTTTTTGAGGCCCTGCGTGTCGCTGTGGAGGGTTTAACCATTCAGGAGCTTGAGAAGGCTATTGGCGACAAGAACGTCGTCAAGATTGGCCAGGGCAGAGCCTTCAGAGAGAAGTGGATATCAAAAACCCAAGGTAAGCTTTCCCCGTCCATTTGCTGGCCAATATCTATGCGGTTCAAAATAGTTTGGGGGTGAAATTCGTGACTGACGTTGCCCGTGCATGTCGCAGATGGTAAATTGAAGGCGGCCGTGAGTAGAATCTGCACATCTTTCGAAGGAATGGCTTGATGCGGGAGGATGAGGAAGGGCTGACGTGGAAGCTCCTCGATAGAAAGAATCCGTCCAAGACACGACCAAAGAGCAGATGCAGACCATTCAATCGACGCGAACGTATCCGGATGCCAAGATGCTGGCCGAACTGAAGAAGCGCAAGCTTGTCCGGACCCAGAAGATCATCAGCTTCAAGATCGAAAAGGCCGACAAGTTCGCCCTCAAAATCCCCGAGGTCGCCACCGACTTGACCGCCGACATGATTGCTAGCGGGTCATGGAAGACGGCGAATTTCAAGGGATACAACTTCAAGGCTCTAGGTGCTGATCAGCAGTCTGGAGCTTTGCATCCTTTGAGCAAGGTTCGGTCTGAGCTGAGGCAGATCTTCTTCGAAATGGGTTTTCAGGAGATGCCCACTGATAAGTAGGTGACGACCTTTTTTTTTGGTTTCGGCCACGTGAGCCGGTCGCTAATGGGTTGTCAGGTTCGTTGAATCTGGCTTTTGGAACTTTGATACGCTTTTTGTTCCGCAACAACACCCCGCCCGCGATATGCAAGATACCGTACGTATTCTAGTGCTTAGTCAAGGCCTAAGGCTCGTCACGACTACCAATGAGGCTAATAGTGTTTGCAGTTCTATGTCTCTGATCCCAAGGAGGCAGATTTCCCTAGAGCCGAAGATGCCAATGATAAAGGAGACTACAAGGCTTATTGGGATAACGTGAAGGAGGTCCATCAGGTACGATATGAAATAGTAGCAGGCAACCAATACTGGGTCCTAGCAAAGGTTTAATACGTGGCTTAGGACGGCAAATTCGGGTCGATAGGTTACCGATACCCCTGGTCCGGAGAGGAGACTCGAAAGCTGGTACTTCGAACGCACACTACAGCCATCAGTGCGAACATGCTGTATAAACTGGCCCAGCAAAAGGGCCCTGATGGTCGACCACCCCCGGCTCGCTATTTCTCCATTGATCGTGTGTTCCGCAACGAGACTGTCGACGCCACTCACTTGGCAGAGTTCCACCAGGTCGAAGGAGTCATTGCTGACTATGATCTAACCTTGGGCGGCCTCATGGAGGTAAGATGGCAGGAAAAGCTGCCCGGCGTCAGCTATGACTACGGAGAAAACATTGTCACTGACCTTGACAGTTTATGGACATCTTCTTTGGCAAGATGGGCATCACCGACCTCAAATACAAGTGTGCCTACAACCCTTGTGAGTGCTCGCCAAAGTCGCATCCCATTTTCTTTTGTGAACGTTTTGACTAAAGTTTGCAATGACTAGACACGGAACCTAGCATGGAAATATTTTCGTATCGTAAGTCCTCGTCTCTGCGACCGTCCAAAAGGCGAAAGTGGAATGCGTCGCTAAAACCATACTAGACAAGGGCCTTGGGAAGCTAGTTGAGATTGGTAACAGCGGCATGTTCCGAGCCGAAATGCTGGAATCTATGGGTCTTCCGTAAGTGATGAGAAGTCTCGCTTCCCCTTTTCTTTTCTTTTTTCTTTTTCTTTTTTTTACAAGGAAATCGAAGCTGATTGTCCATGTAGTAAGGACATGCGAGTGTTTGGCTGGGGTCTGTCCCTCGAACGACCTACCATGATCAAGTACGGTATTTCCAACATTCGCGAGTTGTTGGGTCACAAAGTCGATCTGAACTTCATGCGCAACAGCCCCGCGGTGCGTTTGGACAAGGAATGAGCAGGACAACAGAGGGCGGGGGGAGAAATAAGAAAAGAAAAAGGAAAAAAAAAAAAAGAAAAAAAAATCAGAACATGCAGCACGAGGCCTGGCTTCCTTGTTGAACGTAACGGAATGGGGAAAGTGGTCAGAGACATGCGACCTGTTTAGACGGGTGTCGAAATACCATGATTGATAGAGGCGATATATCGATGTTTTGATGCCAGAGCTGCTACGTTCTTTCTGGTCAGAAGCGCCTTATGTATGTGTGTGTGACACACTCGCTGCATCCACGCATGACGAAGAGTTTCAGCCTTGAGGAACGCGACCAGATTCCTCCCACTTGGTCGACGTGGGCCGAGAACGAGGCACAGAAAAATACCATGACGCGCAAGGCAACAACATCCGTCTGTTGCTATTGCACGTGGCCATCGTAGTCATCAGCCGACACAGAAAGGAGGCCAAGCAAGCCTCACCCCGCAATTCAGACGAACCGAGTAACCGAGTCAAATGGACCATCCCCATTTAGAAAAAGAATCCACAAACCCGTGATTCCTGACCGGATCTCGATTAGCACCAGTGCGTCATTCCACAGCCCACAGCAAACCCGCTGCCGCCTCTTCCCCTGCTTTTCCCCCCACGAATCGGAGGACTTGGCCCGCCATCTAATGTCGTTGTCATGACATCATCATCATCATATGTTGTATATACTTTTGCCTTTTTGGTCACCCCGTTTCTCCTCAGCAACGGCGTCATGCCGAAGAGCCAGGGCCACAATAAACCTAATTTCGCCTTATAAATGTCCAGCCTGGTGCTCATTCTTTCCTGATTGCCACTCGATTTTGTTCCCATCACAAAAACGTTTCTTGAACCGGTAAAAAAAAAAAATTGTTCTCCCATCTTTCGTTTACGAGAGTGTTCCTTGTTCCACAAACAAACGACACTTTCACAGCATAGAAATGTCTTTTCTCACGGAGCGCGTCGTCCGAGCTGCCCTGCCCTTGAGCAGAGGCATGGTCGTCCAGGCCCCCCGCGTATTCAGCACGTCGCCTTCGTTGAGGAAGACGCCTACGGAGAGTGTCAAGGAGGGGCTCAAGTCCGTTGATCGGGCCGTCACAGACAACGTTGTTCTTCCTGGCCTGGACGCCGCTGGTGAGTTGTTTTGTTGCGTTTTCCCTGCCGTTTGACTCGCTAGGCTTCCTGGGGACGCGTCTTGCTGACTTTTGGGTGTGTCTGTTTCTTGGGACAGCGTCGGCGGGGAGCAAAATCAAAAAGGGGACCGAGAAAATCACAAAGGGCAAGAAGGGCAAGGTCGAGGAACTGAAGGGCGAGGCACAGGGCAAGATGGAGGAACTGAAGGGCGAGGCACAGGGTAAGACGGAGGAGGTCAAGGGCGAGGTCAAGGGTGCTGCTGCCGAGACGCGGGGCAAGGCCAAGGGGGCGGCCGAGGAAATGAAGAACAAGTTGTGAGGTTGTTGTCGGGGGAGTGTTTTGACGTTGCCGCGATGGCGGAGCTGCTTCTGGACGGAGTTGGGCTGATTTTCATGAAGAGAGTGTATTGTATACGCATGGCATGGCTCCTTGTGGTGTTTGGGCATCTGATTATTGTAGCAAGTATTCTTTGGGCCGTGTTTTTCCAAGCCGGGTTGAAACAAGATGTTAGAAAAATACTTGCCGCTGCCTGTTTGATGCGCTGCCGCCGCCATTGCCAAGTCGAGGTAGAGCGGAATTCCTGCCTCTTCCGATGATGCGATGCGTACAGGGTAGGCGGGTACCGAGGGACGAGAAAACGGCGATGACGTTTGGTCACGGCCAATGCTTCCCCGCCCCACCGGGTTCGAGGCCGACTCGAGTGGGCACGCGATGCGAGGTCATGCATCACTTTTGGCCGTTGACATCAGCCTCCCCCACGACCTGCCACGTCTGCTGCCGCCGGCCCGGGTCCAGGACAAACCCACCAGATCCACGGTTCGAGAGGATGAACCAAAGTCTCCTCTCCGACCATGCCGCCCAAAACCTCGGCAGCCGCCGTCGGCCTCTGCACGTCGACAAGCTCCCTTTCCCACGTGGCATCATGGCCGTACTCCGTCGTCGCACATTCCCGCCTGGCCGCCCGCAACGGCTCGCCGACCATCATGCCGCGCTGCCCTCATGAGCACCGAGCACGATGCTATGCCGCGCACTCATCCAAACCGACCGAGCCATCCGACGCCACGCCGCCGTGGCCGCGGGCAGCCCACCCGACCCCCTACGAAATCTTGGGCATGCAGCGCGGCGCGCCGTAC